AATTAAGAGTATTGAATATGGACCTTCAAGAAAAGTCAGAAACTCAATTGACACAAGTATTGCAAAAGCCAAAATAGAATTTGGATATGAAGATGATTTGCTCAAAACACTGCCAGCACTATAATTTCTTTTCGTTTTTTTTTTGTCCCTTTCTTTTTGGGTACCTTTTTTTTTTCTTGTCTTTTCCCTTTTCTTTTCTTTTTTTTTTCACTGAATAATGCAAGGAAAATCACAAAAATACCATAAACAAAACAGAACAAGCAATCTGAACCCAGAAATTCCAGAAAATGCGTCCTTTTCAAATGGGTATAACTTGCCCTACAAAAGTCGGATTTAGATGAAACCAAAACGAGACCAAAGAAGGGATTCCGAACTATGAAAATGACCTATTAAACTTCACAAAACTCAACGGAAAAGTGAATGGACAAGGATGACAATTTCGGTGATGAACAGAAACGCAGAAGACGAACAGACACAAGAAAAGGCACCAAATGAAGAACGAAAATGAAGGTAAACTAACAGAAAAATATGACCTGAGTTTAGATCCAAAGCTCTGATACCAAGATGGTGAGAACCCACAAGGGAAAAATCCCACGAACCCACAACCGATCTGAATATACGCACCCCAAGAACGTAAACAAAGGTTTGGTGATCTACTTGAACCCTTGAACACGGAAGAACAAGGACCCGAAGTGTTGAAAGACGCCACAAGATTGATCAAGCCTTGATAAGTCTGTTAGTTCAATGAAGAACCCTAGAGAGAACTCCTCTCAATCAGAAATTGCAAAATGCAAGTTTTCATTCAAAATTCCAAATCTCCTCCCAAAATGAGGGTTACAATATCTTATAGAGGATACATTCAAGATCTGACCTAAAAAGCATTAAATGCAATCTAGAAAATCAAAACATAATAAATTCATAAGGACTTGATTTAGGTAACTTGGAAATTCAAAAGTCAAATCTGCCAACTAATTATGAATTTTCGCACAAATGCATTTAATGAAATATAATCAGCATATCAAGCCCAAAATATGATTAATTAGGCCCAAATGAGTCTTCTCATGTGTTGTACTTGATCCAAGCTCCTTAAATTGAAGTCTCCAAGCCCAAGATATGATCAGTAGCTCCATTTTCAGCCCAAATGACATTAGTGACATCCTCAGCATTTTTATCCAGATTTGATACTCCAATAAATGCCATTTGCTTTGTCAAAGTGTCTTGCACTAGCCCACTCAAAGCTTCCTTAATTCTTTTAGCTCTTGCTCTTGTGATTGGTCCAGTTGGGATTTGCAATGGATCATTGGAAGTTGAGGAGTTAGCTTGCTGTATCGCATCAACAATGAGGTGATCATTATAGCTACTGTGAGAGTAAGTTGCAGGAAAAAGTCGCTCCATCCCCGATTAGCAAGAGGTCAATGAAAGCACCAATGTTATGAACCCTTACAAAGAGACAGCAAAAACAGTATATTCGTAGGGCTCAAAATCAGATTCAAAGACTAACTGCCACTCGAGGTAGATATATATATACTGGGGTACATGACAATGAACTAGAGACGAAGCAATGACAAAAGAAAACAGTAGCAGGAAAAGAAATGACAGTGGAAAATAACTCAGAGAGAAGCAGAGGGGAAGAAGCAGACGCTAGAGAGAGTAGATTCTTCAGCAAAATTCTTCACACCCAACAGTCTTTCGCCCCCCATCTATATACGCTTTCATCTTAACCTATTCCACCTCTCTTGGGCCCATTCAAATAAGCATATGGCCCAATAGTCCTATTCTCATGGCCCAAATCTTTCTTAATGCTAAGCCCATTCATTACAGTTGAGCAGAGCATGGACCGTGGAGATTTGCCACATCAGCCGTGAAAACAATAGTGATGCGGACAATCTTGCTAAGAAAGCTCTTAATAGCCCGCCTGGTCTCCAAGTCTTAGGACCATCTTCCCTTTTGAGTCTTCTCAACCATGTCAATAGCTAGTTTCCTTTGTTTTCCGACTTATCAAAAAAAAAAAAATTAAGCTAAAATTTTGAACAAACCACATCTTATTTATACATGTGTGCGTATATATGAATATACTCTTTTCAATCTAAAATATAAAATCTATTTAAATATTTTAATTTAATTCATAATATAACAACTTAGTCGTTCTTGTCATCTAAATAAAAATTTTATTTCCCATAGTACTCTTATTTATTATTGAAGCGATTTCATGGATGAACATTCAATCTTAATTAAGCAAAAATATATATTTGTTTTTTAACTTTATAAAAAGTTTTAATTTGGTCCTTTTACTTTAAAACGTATATTGGGTGAAAGAGCAAATTTAGTTATTGTAATATTCAAAAAGAACACCAAACACCATAATAAAATATTTGTTACCGTAAAATGATACTTCCGTTAAATGTATCAAACGGCTGTTTGTTTTAAGTTGTGGACTCCTTTATTTTTCATAATACCATTATGGTGGTGTTTGGCAAATTGAAGAAAAGTGATTTTGGACCCCAAACCATGATTTGGGCTAGTTGATATCCAAACATCCACATTTTTTTTTTATCAAAACCTTGGTTTGGGCCAAAACCAATGTCTTGTCAGCTGAAACCCTAGTTTATAAAGAAGCAAAACGAATTTGCTTTTGGGCAAAATTTTGAGGACCGTTGTGTGATGATTATGGTTGTCAGAGAATATATGACAAAAAACACCCCATATTCAATTATTCAATTATAAGCTTCCTTCTGCCTTTTGTGCTTCGGTCCTTCAGAAGTGCTTTAATAATATATTGTTTAATTAATAATATATGACAAAATAATTAATTTTCTATAAACATATTTAATCTTATATTTTATAAATATATATATGCACATATTAATTATTTATTAATTATATCTTCTTATATATTATCAATTATGTTGATAAAAAATATATTATTAACAAATTTATTCCTTCAAATTAAAATATATTATAAAATCTATCTTTTATATAATTATCATATTAACTTATGTCCTTTTTAGTAATTTGCACATATAAAAAGTGCTTTTGATAACAACTATCTAAACACTCTCATTTTATCAAAATCACTTTTTCACAAAATTTATTCTTCCAAAATCTATTCTCAAAAATAATTTTTTTTTCCTAGAAACTATTCTTCAAATCATTATTTGGTTTTATCTGAACACCCTATGTCAGTTTGTCATATCCTCTCTCTCTTTCACTCTCTCTCCTATTCTCTCTCTCCGATCCAAAACTTTTGTGACGCCGACAATATGGATGTGTCCCTGTCCTCTTCCTTCCGCATTCATACTCGCACCAAAACCCAATTCCTTCAGAAATCTCAGCCTCAATCCAACTCTGGTTCTTACCTTCAACTCTAAAGTCACCGCCTTAAGAAGCCTGCTGTTTTGATTCCCACTACCTACTACTTCAAGTGACAGGTATGCTTTCCATAACGCCAGCACAAGTAGACTCAGTGTCTTATGACCTCTCCTCCCAGGACCCATCGCCAAATTAGCTTAGCAACACACCATGGCGATGCTCAAAACGCTAACAGTGTCGTTGATGATCCTGATGGCCGCGGCGGCAGTCTTCATGGATGCAGAAGACACAAACAGAATGTATTCTCATTGCATCGACTCTAAGGTGGAGTGGTCTAACGGATTCACCTTTGGAGCTGCATTTGCATCAAAGGAAAAATTCTCAAATTTATATGTTAAGGCCGAAGGTGGATGAGATCTCACTTCTCACTATCAATTCCTCTTCTTTCACTCATGTTCGTTCCCTTTCTTGCTCTCTTTAAATTTGTAGGTAAAATTTCTGGATATGTTTTTTGTTTCTCTAAATTTATGACGGACGATTCATGAATTAATGTGGCAGCAACAACTACCGTGAGCACTTCTAAGAAAGAAAAATTGCTACTTACCGGTATTGAGAAAAATAACCAGGATAGAGAAATATAGTGGAACACCCAACATAAAACAAACGGCCGTTTCATACATTTAACGGAAGTAGTATTTTAGGGATATTTTTAAATCATGATGGATATTTTTACACCCAATATTTTATTATAGCATCTAGTGCTTCTTTTGAATATTACAATAAGTAAATTTGCCCATTCACCCAAATATATTTGTAGTCCTTTAACCCTAACCTTAAATGATGATTTTCTGTAACAATCACGGTTGCTTTGAAAATTAAACTTAATATGTTAACATTTTAAAATGTTTTATCAATATTTAAGATCTCAATGTCATTATTTTTGTTAATAATTTTAGAGTTGAAGGACTAATAAAATACTTTTTAAAATTTAGAGGCCAAATTAAAACAAACTTAAAATACTAAAAGTATACATTAGACTTTATTTTTAATTATTAAACTGGAAGGGTATTTTTGGGAAAAATCACAAATTTTTTACATATTAATTACAAATAAACAATTCATCTACTTTTTTTATTTTTATAAATTAGTTAAGTGGACCTTATAGTATAAAAAAAATTCAATAAGGTCACTTGCTGCGAAATTACCCGAGAAGAAACTACGGTCCCATTTAGTGATTGGCGCATCTGTCATAGCAGCCCAGATTTGTTGACAAATTATAAATTGAAAGAACTTCATAGCATACATCTGTAAATATGAATAGTCACAATCTGTAACAAATTTTCTATTAACAATTCGTCTCTATCTGCTCATATTCTAACATAAAGTTCTAGTCTTCCCTAAAAGTCTTACCTAAGTCTCCCATTTTTGTCCTCTCTATGAGTTTCGCAGAAAATTCCTCAATGCTTAAATTAATAACATGTTAATCTTCTCACTTAATATAACATTACTTATATCTGCTCCTTCTTCAGTTTATTTACTGGAAATCAATCGCCATTGTCCCATTTCCCCCTTCCATTAAGTCGTTGACTCTTCAACCTGAAGGCAAAAGACCATATGTCTCTATAAATAAGCTCCACATTTTCTCCATCAGTTACTCAGCAAGCTCCAACTCTGCGTGACCCTTCAAAGAAATGCAGAAAATTCTCAGAGGCACCAACCTTCTTAAGCTCTTTCTCTCTTATGGACTCTTTCTTTGGGATGTCAAAACAAAGGGTTTCCTTCCTTTTCTCTTTTACCACTTCCAATCTCTCTGTAATTCCTGGTCATCACCTAGAATAGATGAGAAACCCCGTTGCAGAACCCAAAATGGTCAGAGTCCAAACAAGGTGAGATTGAGCAGAGAGGAAGTGATAATGGTTATGGCTGAATTGGAACTGATCAGTGCAGAATCAGATGGGGAAGGGATAGAGGAGGAGATTGGGGAAGAAGAGATTGAAGCTTTGTTTGAGAAAGAACCAAGTTTCGAGGAGTTAAAGGATGCCTTCGAGGTGTTCGATGAAAATGGGGATGGCTTCATAGAAGCAAGAGAATTGCAGAGAGTATTGAAGCGTCTGGGAATGCAGAGAGATCATCAAGAGTGTTGGAGAATGATTAGAGCTTTTGATCTGAATGGAGATGGACTCATTGATCGACCTGAGTTTGTCAAGTTTATGGAACAGAGTTTTTTGCCTTAGGTGATAAGCCAAGCCAATAATCACCATAATATGTTCCTTCATAGCTAATTTCGGACACGTTAGGTTTTCCCCCCCTTATTTTTGGTTCATGTATTTTAACTGTAGATTTCATTTCACGTGGCATATTTTTAGAACCAATTTGGATGCTCATCTTAAATGAGCACTCAAAACTCATCCGATCTAGACCATTCACATATGATTTGGATGGTTCAGCATTAATTTTTTTATTTTTATTTTTTAAAATAATTATTTTAATGAGTATAAAATCTAAAATACAAGTAATCTCTTAACCATCACATTTTTTAAAATAATAATTTTTATTTAAAAATAATTAATTTAAAATATTAAATATGGACTCTGTATATTAGATCTGGACGGTCTAAATAGGACGAGTTGAGCACCTAAACTCATTAAAAAAAAAATATTTTGCAGTGGTGGAAAATAACAACTACTAATTGATGCATTTGTAGCTGTTTTGTATTAACTGCTACTAAATACTAATATGCAATGGTTTGACTAATCAGGACAATATTAGAAGCGTTCTTTGTGCATTAGTAGCAGTTATTTTCAAAACAATTACAAAATTATGGCATGTAACCTTCACGCCATGTCACGTGAACATTTGCTGCAAAATTTTGTGGCAGTTTAGAAGGGAACAAAAAAAAACAAAAAAATGAACCGCTGCAAATGGCATAGCATTTGTATCATCCTTCCACACATACTGATTCTGAGTAGGGGATGGTCTCTATCCGCATGACAGTTGGAGGGCTTAGGACGCTCTACCGATTCCTTTCCATGAGAGCGAAACATCATCCTATTATCCTGCAAGTCAAATTATATTTTAATAAAAAATGTAGAGATTTTAAAATTAATTACAAAGTAATTTAGCTTGTAGTTATTAAGTTAATAATATATATTACTAATCAACAAGTAATTATTTAAATTATGAATAAATTATAAACATAAATTACATGTTAATTATAAATCAATTCAATTTATTATTATTTACAAAGTTATTAATTTATTTCAAAGTTAATTAAAAAATAAATTATCAATTATTAATTTAATTTAATTTAATTTAAGTAAGCCCAATTAATAAATAAAAATATTAAAGTAAAAATAGAACCAAATGATTATAAAAAATTTCTTCAAAATACATCACGAGCATCATCTATTAATTGAAAAATAATGTTATTGATGTTATATAAAGACTAAAGAAGAAGAAAAGATAATTAGACAGAAGAGAATATAGGAGTATTTCTCATTTCATTCAAGATACTTTTAAAATAACAAAAAATGGCTTAACTTTATTCCAATATCATATTGATGAAGAACTACATCATGCTAATTAGCAAATGATATCTCAGGTTTTGTGTGGCTATCCATAAGTGTTTCAGTAACACTAAGATATGGTATGATTTAACAATGGAATGATGAAAAACAAGTGATTTAACAATGATAGATTCCTCTTGAAAGTGTGCTCTGGCTGTCATAGTTCAAAATTGATTAATATGGAGTAGAAATTACTAAGTTTCAAAATCATAAACCTTGAAGTACTCTTTAAGTCTGGGACCTTAATCAATGGGACTCCATTTCTTAAGATCCTGTGAAGTGCTCTTAGTATGTGTAGAAGGATTGGCCAATGCAACAGGGCAAATGCAATCAAAATCAACTTAATGGCAAACACAACCGTGCAAGGATGGAGAGAATCAAAAGATCACAAGTAGACATATATGAAACTACACATATTTAAGCTCAAAGTTCTACATTAACCAATCCACTACACAAAATGAATATCCAAAACTGATTACAACTATAATCAAGTAGTTCAACTACAAATTATAAACCCTAGACCTAGGAATTTATAAATTCATAGCTAAACTATGGATTAATCTACTCCCCTTCTTAGCTCATTGAACTCTAGCCATTGCTACACCTTCAAGAGGAAGAGAAACGCCTAGCCACGCATACCACTCTAAAGCTTCATAACTAGGAATGAATATGAGCTACCTATGATGGAGGTTTTACAATGGAAGTGGAAGAAATTAGGGTTAGATGAGAGAAGGATGAGAGAGGATGAAAATGGAGGTTGTATAAGGAGTGAATGTTGTCACTTACCCCAAAATAGGGTTTCTAAGCCGGTAGTGAGGTGTACTGGGTCAGTTTGCACGAGTGGGTAGGTAAAATTTCTGAAAATGGTTCGAGTTTGGATTGCTGATTCGAAGAGTTCGCCGCGGCGAAAGTATGGCTTCGTCATGGTGAACCATTCTTGAGAGGTATTCTACTTGATGATGTGTCTTCGTCGTGGTGAAATCAACTTGTGGCCACGACAAACCTTCCCCAAGAGATCTTCTGGTGATAATCCTAACTTCGTTGTGGTGAAGGCATGAGTTGGCCGCGGCGAAGTCTGGCAGTGTTGATGCTGTTACTCTTGTGTACTGTACTTTCTTTGTCTTTACTCTTGGCTCTACTTCTTGAGTGTCCTGAAATGAAAAGCAATGATTTGAGGTATTGGTTGTCCCAAAAATAAATTAAAACCAATTAATGAATAAATATGACAATTGTACCCTCAAATGACACTAACTCAAAACAAAGACTCTCAATCTTAACTAAGCACAACTATCATCAAAATGAGCTAAAAAGTTTAATGAAAACCTAGAAAATGTCATCAAATAATATAAACAATTTGTGCTCAATCACTTTGGCTAAGAGGTATGCCTTGGAATTTAAAAATTTCATTTTCAATTTCAATGCTTCCAAACATATGTTCTCCACATATCTATGCTTCTAAACACATGTTCTCCACATATCCTTACACAATTTCACCTCTTAAACTCATTGGAAGCATCCAATTAACAAAAATCAAACCCTAGCTCAAAGAACCAGGTTTGACCAAAATGTATCCCTAGGTTTCACAAGTTAAAATTCTTTCAAAAACAAAATTTAAACAGCATCTTCCAACCATTTTATATCCCCTAATCTATATACACGCTTTAAATCATTCATGTCTCATCTTGCATCAAATTGGATAGCACCAATGTAACATCCTAATTTTCATATATCTAATATTTAAACAAATTTTTATAGAATAGGTAGAGGATAAATATACATATATGTAATTAAAATAATTCTGATTTTATGTGTGTGTGTGTGTGTGTATGAGAAAATGAATAAAATAGCGATGTTAAGAAGTCCCACATTGATTAAATGATAGGAAGTGGATAAAATAGCAATGTTAAGAAGTCCCACATTGACTAAATGATGGGAAAAGGAAGCTCTAGGAGCCTATATATAGGTGGTAGTAGGGAAGAGTTAAAGATAAACCAAATAATTTTCTCACAAAACTGAGATAGTCTCAATAAAGTGCTGTTTACAGATCTGTAAACCATTGAATCGGGCTGCAATTTGGTCAGCTGATCCTAGACTTCAAACTTGTTAGTTTCAACGGTTGGACCGTCAATTCAATGTCTGAGTTACAAGTTATTAGGTATGTTTTTCATTTATTATTTTTAGATTTGGTAGATAGAATACTAGATAGTAGGTTGGTGTTTTTAAATTTGTTCACTGTTGGATTAACCCGAAATTTAGAGAGTAGTCTTGGGACATGTAAGACATTAAATTCAACAGTTGGATTAATAATTAGACTTCTACAGTAAGAATAAATTAACTCATATTGAGGTTATCCGTCTAAATTCTTTGAAGATAGAACATAAGTTATAAATTGAGGGTTCTCTATCTAGGTTGTGAATTTGGTGCTTCAAATGATATAATTTAATAATTAAAGATAACATAAGTTAAGGAGGCCTAGGAATTGAATATAAATCATCATATATATGTTCTTACCCCAAACCTTAGAAAAAGCCTTTCGAACTAGAATTTCAAGTAACAGCTGAATGTATTAGAGGGAGCGTTAAAGGTTAGAAATTTGTGAGTAGTTTACTCTAATACTGTAGAAATAATATATTAATTTCAATTGTAGATATAAACCCTATTGTGGCATTTTCGAGTACGGGCCTCGTTTGTGCTTGATTGTTAACTAGGAGACCAGGTAACTAAATTTCTATATGTTACATGCATTGGTATGAGGTTGGTGAGTAATTTTATAACCAAGTTTCGTATACATATATTATGTTTTATATGAACTGTCTAGTGGGATACTGTTTTGAAAAGGATTGAAATCATTTGTATTGTTAGAAATTAATGAATATGACTATGAGGTCTTATTCTGGAATTCGGTTGATTATGTATATAAATGTGTTATTTTAAACCCTGTGCATCTAGTTTGGGTGGGGGAAGGAGATGATCGGAGTTAACATGATAGACATTGCTGTTGAGGACGCTTGCTCTGAAATTGAATTGCAACATGATTCTTTTTAGTCTCACCTTTACTCTACTGACTCTAATGATGAAGAGGAATCTGTTTCTTCTTTTTCATCTCTTTATTCATCTCTTTCTACTTGTTCATGTGGTGGTGACATGACATGCCTTGATTGTATTGTCGTTAATTGCATGCTTTCCATCCCGCATACATTCTCTATGTCATCTACTGATACGGATTCGAATTATGATTCCTCTATTATCAGTGATGATTCCCTTGGGGAAAGGTTTTCTGTTGATATTTCAAATTACCTTAACATTTCAGAAGCTGATGTTGAAATGGAGAATGATGGTATGGAGAAGAAACCCTCCAAGGCCGTTGCTGCTGTAGATCAACTTGAAATTGGTTCAACGCTTGGAGATGAGGGAAACTGCAAAGCTTATCATATTCAACTAGAGCTATCATTGGTGGAAGGAAAGGGGAGTAATCTGTTCTCTCTTAAACTTCATAAACTGATCTCTTCTGTTGTGGAACCACCTATACTTGATTTGAAACCCCTACCCCCTACTCTGAAATATGTTTTTCTTGAGTCTAATGAACAATTACCTGTTATTATTGCTAACTCGCTATCTGAGGGTGAGGAAGAGAGACTCTTATCTGTTTTAAGGGAGCATAAGAGGGCAATAGGGTGGACCTTAGCGAATATCCTTAGAATTAGTTCAGCTATTTGCACACATAGGATTCTCCTTAGTAAGGGATCAAAACCAGTGAGGCAACCCCAAAGACGACTGAACCCTCTTTTACTTGATGTAGT